CCATCACCACCTTGACATTACACAAAGTACTTGCTAGCTTTATCAAGCGATTTCTGTATTGTATTTAGAATGCAGGTGGACACTTGCAACATCGTTTTCCATGATATCTATGTCCGTCTAACTCTGCTTCTGTAAATATATGTATCAAGAATCTATTACACGCGAACTTAATTCCATGGGCATTGCCTGCTTCTTCAACAGTCTGCGTCAGTCCGAAAGCCGTGATAATTTGGGGGTATCCGACACGTAGATTAGAGCTTACGTATTGGAGCCGTTAGTGCAAATGTTCTCCAATTCACACCGGAGCCATAAGTAAGAGAGTATTTGGGGGCTCCGATACGTCGTTTATAGACAGCTTAGTTATCGGTCATGGTGTTATTGCATACCGAGCTTCTTGCTTGTATCAGAGGCCTTCGTTTCGAGCATGTAGCAGTCGGTATTCTGGTGTTGTATGGAGAGTACCTTGCATTTGCTTACCTCGAAACTCCGCAGCCTTTCATTTGGCCACTGCTGTACTATGTCCAAGTCATGCTGCAGCATAACCAGATCGGCCTCCGACTGAATCGTGCGCTGTATTTTGATGTCATCAACAAACATTAGAAAACTTTACCTATCGTCTGTGCTAGGTCGTTGACAAATACCAAAAACAATCGTGGCCCTAGAACAGAGCTTGGAAGCATACCACATTCGACATGTACGGGGGTTTGATAACGAGTTTCATACTCTAACCACCAGCTGCCGTTGTAGGAGAAAGTTGGCAATCCAGGTGAAAGGACGGTCACTGATGTCATATTACTGCAGCTTGGAGATAAGAATCCGTTGATCCAGGCGGTCGAATGCCTTTGAGAAATCCTTAGTAGACCATATGGACGTTCTCTCCCACGTCAGCTGACTCAGTCCAGCTACTCCGGGCTATCAGTAAATTTGTTGTGCGTGATCGCTGTCGACGAAAGCCATGTTGCTCGAGAGCAATGATGTTGCAGTTTTCCGGATAGCACACCAATGCACCGGTAACTATGGACTCCATGATTTTGGACAGTACTGGATGAAATGATACCGCTGAAAGAACTGAGCCAACGGTTCTGCCAGAGCGTGTACTACAGCTGAATAATCACCCCACCTGGGTGTAGAAAGTACATTTTTGACTTTGACTTGTACGCACAGCTCCTACATAGTATACTGCAACAAACCTTTGCTCGCCTAACATTTGAAGGGTAGACTCTGTATTTACTGATTAGTCAATGTTTGTTTATCCGTACTCGTGTTCCTGTGGTGCACGATACGCGGGTCGTGCTACGAGGCGCCTATATCATAGGATTCGAGAGCATATGCTGAATTGGTTTTACAGAGGTGAAGCATCAAATCATATCATCATATCATGTCATCATATTATCATCATATCATTATATCGCACCTCCTCGAGTGGGATCACACAGGCCCGGAAAACAGTTTCAGAGTTATACACTCTATTTCTGGGCCATTGTCTTGCGGACTCCGGAAATCTCCTATATATTGTTTAAACCATCTATATCCGCTGCCTGAAATCGGATCTGGGCGCACAAAAGCAATTTGTGCACCTTTTACTTCTACCATGACCTACAACTGTCGTTACATGATCGCTTGTTTTGTACCCCCCCCCCAGTTAGGCGGAATTCGCTAACTATTGCGGAAAATGAAAAGTTTCGCGGAACCGCGGAACAATTGAGAAATTCATAAAGTAAGCTGCTTTGAATTCGTTTTCCTTGTCATCGACATATTTGTATTGGGAAGAAATGCCAAAGCAGCTAGCTGGCTATTGGAACATTCCCCTGGAGTATCATCACCGCCATCTATCCACCATCTGCTATCCAAGTCCGCCTGTCCCCAGACCCAAGTGCCACCCATGCATCTTTACATTAGGTCACCACGTCCCATCTGTCTGTCCACGTTGTGCACTCATTCTATTGTCTATCATACAAGCATCCTTTTGCCCACGTGTACATTAATTCTGTTCGACATCTGTTCGGTCACATCTTTTGCGTATGCCTGGCCGACACACACCGTCCTTCATCAGGGTCACCCGTGAACTTGGTGCGCTGTCGCTTCTTAGGCGTTGAATGGCGGGCACGTAGCTGTGTAGAACCCGGCAGCGCAATATAAGTGACCGTGTTAATTTGCCGAAAGACTGAAGTGGTCGTCATCTGTTAGTATAATGACGAGAACGGTGATTGTTACCCTCTTTAGTACTTCGTGAAGATACTGTTGTGCCAGTACTGAGCAGTTACTGTTGAGGTTTTAATTACTTAAGTTTTACCTTCCTTGGAATAGTACCGTGGTTCAGTTACGGTTTCGTTCTCGGTTGACCTATTACCCGAGAAAAAAGCGAATAAGTTGCTTACAATAGTCAACATGTTTCATCTTTTGCAGATGTCATCTCAGAAAAGGAAACGGCATGAAGGCAAAAACGGCCCTGGACAGAGTGAAGGAGTTTCCTGGAGAATACTACATCGATAACGCGGATAAAGAAACTTCCGTTTTGTTCATCGTGTGAAATGATTGTGGATCCATCTCGAATATCAACCGTGGTCGACCACATTCGCAGCCAGAAGCATCTTCAGAAGAAAGCTTACAAGGAGGAGCAAGCAGCTGAACTTATTGCCAAAAGGGAAGCAGCTGCAAAGAAAGCTCAACAAACAAGCATCGTTAGCTCCATCGCTGTTGCGAATGCTGACCACGAAGCCCGCGACACAGTGGTATCTGACTTTACTTGTCGTTGTATCTGAGAAAATTCCTCTAGAGAAGGCCGACAATCCCAGTTGGGGAAATTTCTTCATAGACACGTACGAAATGGTGAAAGCATTGCCGGATTTGAAGCGCTACGTCTGAAAAATTCCCAACTCTACGGGAAACATAACCAGATATGGAAAGTGATGTTCCGTAATACCATTTGTCAGGGTTATAACAGACGAAACAACTGATGATCGCGGGAAGATGGTACTACACATCCTGTAATACCCATCATTGAAGTCCAACAAGGACAGTCTTCGAGCATACCTCATCGACACGGTCAATATGGAGAGAGTCAGTTCTGCCGCAGTTGGAGGAGCCAATCTGTGCAGCTTGACAATGATGGGTATAGAGTCCAGTCGTGTGACGGCCTTTGTGTCAGATGGTGTTAGATATATGACAGCATGCTACCGAGATTTCATTAAGTCAGTTTGTGAGGATTCAGTTCACATCAGATGTGTTGCCCATTGCATCAACTTGATTGGAGAGACCATTCGCAAATTCTCTCCGGAAGTCGACGAATTCGTTGCAAAAATGCAAAGTGCTTTTCGTCTTTCAGGAAGAAAGCGTATCTAACTCATGAGGTCGTGTTTAGCCCAACCGGCCCACCTTGACCGGTCATCAACGGCTGGAACTCTTGGCTGGAAGCAGTCACCCAACATAGCAAGTATTTCCATCATTACCCAGCCATGTTGCAAGCTGTACAACACGAGTTTGGAGACTCAGCTGGTTTTTGTGAACTGGTGGATATTCTAACCAAGGAAACAACACAGAAAGCTTTGAGATGGCAACTGCGTTGCATTACGACTGTTGGGAAGAACATCATCCGTCACCTGAAAACTGCCGAATCACAGTCTCCGGTAACCCATAAGATTTACAACGACCTCTCCGATCTATCCATGTCGCTGAAAACTGCAGCGGAACAAACTGGCTGCAACATTTACAGAGGTACTCACCTTTGATGCGTAAGCAAAATCCAAACTCACATACAACGCTGCTTATCCCAAACTACTATAAAGCTCCAGGAGTTGCTGACACCAAATGCTAGCTGGCCGTTGTTGAAAGACATTAGAGTGCTCGACCCCAACCAGCTGCTCATCATCTTGTCCAGTGATCTATACAACTATGCCGATGTTCCAGGCCTGGTTAGTCCCCCAGCTATGACAGCATAGTGGTTAAGCTATTAAAAAGTGGTGAAAAAAACTTCAAAGACAAAAAGGTGACTAAACACACTGGCCTTCTGGTGCGGGATGCATGAAAGAACTGCACAACTGTCAGACATCGTCGGGCGTTATCTATGTATTCCGGTGAATTCGGTAGACGCTGAAAGGGGCTTTAGTGCAAACAAAAACGTTGTGCCTGACAATCGCCACAATCTTCCAGAGCGTAGCACAAAATATCTTGTTGGGCTTTACTTTAATTCCTCCGTTTTGAATCATGACTAACATGTAGATAGTGGATGAAGATGCCTTGATTTCTGTTTATTTTCGTTTTCGCGGTGAAATCGCGGAATTTAATGTTTACGCCGCAGAAATTTCGCGGAAGTTGCGACTTCGATCGCGGAAACATGTTACACCATCGCGGAGAATTCGGGTCTTCACATACGATTGGTTATGAAAGTGATGTACCATTGTAGGTAATCTACTACATTCGGTGACAGTGTGATTTATCGATTTGGCAATTGAAATTAGACTTTCTTACCAATATTCAGCTCAATTTTTCACATTTAGCACGTAATCTTCACTACTTAAACATCCGAGTTTTACCGAAAATAGCTCTTCACTCGGTACCTGCTTCACTTCTATTTATGTTATTAAATCAGAATTTTCGGATTATTGAATATAAGCGTCTCTTATAATTCTCACAAATGAGAAAGGAGTGAAGTTTCACTATGACCAAAACCCCCTGGATTTATGTATTAATCATATGGTAGAAGGTACGGCTGCAACCAGATTTGATTGTTTCGTGAGTTCCCTGCATGCTTACACTCTATCGTGATGTCGTGAGCATAGTAAGGACGAACATTAATGATGCTGCTCTGATATCAACCTTACTTTCCCGCTTCTTTTATATATTATGCCGAGACCCACCGCTTTACCGATCTTCGATAAAAAATCCGTGTAATACTTAAGTGTCGCTTTAGATACAGGAAATCCCAAAGTCATGCGGTACTTATATTATCCCTTTCTGTTAGTTGTGTCAATCACTCGCATTATAGCAAAATAGTTACTAACCAGAGTGCAGTCCAGTTCGCAGACAGTTGATGGAGACGTTTTGTTGACTCGTGTCATTGTTTCCTTTCAACCGTTGAGCAGCTTCCCTTGCAGAGTGATACTCGTGAAGATATTGATTATAGCCTTCTGGTGGATGGCCAGTCAATTCCTGATTCATGGAAGAAAGGGGAATATTGTGACATGGCAGAGATGACCACAAAACTTCCAGTGCTCCTGGATACTGGTGTATCAAACCAAATAAGGAAACAACGACATATTAGGAGCACAGTTTATCCCCTGGAATTTCCACACCGTGACATTTCAAAGCAACGGCGACCGATGGTCGGAAGAAACCACTAAGGATAAGCGGTTGGGCGACTGTCAAACTATGTCAGGTTGGCTGCCGGTCTATAGAAGAGCTATAAGGACTGATTCGATATGAGCTATTGGCATAAGAGGCTCAACGTTACTCCAACGCTACACGACAGTCCGTGGTGCAGCCGCGCTATAAACATAGTTACCTACAGTTGGGTAACAAGGCAAGGGGCATGGTGCTACGAAGCGATTCTAACCGACATGGAAAAAGACAACTTGGTGACAGTTGTTAATAAATATAACCCATCTACGTGCCCGGAAAACGCGACTTACACAACAGCGATCTCTGTAGCGGACACGATAACAGTTTCATGAGCATCCAGCAAATAAAAAGCCATCTGCTAATTATAAACCGAGCAAACGTTCTGCGAGAACAGGAAAAAAGTTGCTTGAACGCAACGGAAGAGCCTATTGCAGAGATGTGTACGGTAGATGCTTAACCCTATATAGACCGAGAAGAATCATTTCACGTGTCGGGTTCTATTTACTACGTCAATTCAGTGTACAGTGAAGTTACTTCGAACGCCATGCAAGTATGCCACAACCTGGGATTCTGAATAGTGGCAGCGGAAGCCTGATGAAACACAGAGTTCCAAGTCGCTAATCCATCATTTGTGGCCTCGTGCTATTGGACTTTGGTACCAGTTACATCAGGGTCATGGCGAAGGTAATTCAAAAGCAAGTAAGCATGCAGAAAAGAAGATAAAAAGAATGTTTGCTTACAAGTTCTTCCTGCAGCAACTGAAGTAACTCAGTGTACCGTTCCGCTAATCGAGTGACCAAGAACGCTCGTCTTTTAAGGAGGTAAACTTCTGGGGATGTGTTCATTTGGGGAGACAACGCGTCCATCCCCGATTGTGGCTCACTAGCTCTCGACTCGGTGGTTGAGTAATTCAGAAGACCAACGCATTTCTGCGTACTTTGTACGAATTCAGGTGGTCCCGCCAGCCTGTGCAGTGTGGCAAGTTTGGGTACAGGGTTCAGTTTCTTGGTATTGCCGTCCAATTGATTCAGGTAGTCTGCAAGTGTCAACCGCACAACTTCGGCAGCTGTGAGCAGCAATGGAAAGGAGACAGACTAAAGCACATGCATTCGGACACGTGGCATCATTCGCCTAAGCAACCATATAGTCGTATAACCAACCGGAATTCTGGGACCATTAGGCTTCTCTGTATATCTTTAGAATGTTTTTAATTTTGCTAATGCGGCCTCCATCCAAATGAGTGGCCTGGTCAAGCGAAAATCGCCGCAAGACCACAGTAACACTGACATGCTTGACAGTAAATTTTTCGGTAGTGGCGTGCACTGATCGATAGACGCGTCAGCGGCGCACACAGCTAATAAGCAAACCGATGACCGCCTACACGCCGCTGTGCGAACGCGATGTGAGTGTCTAACGACCAGATGCGATACGCGTAGTCACAGCGGAAACGCAAACACCAGTAAGCTGTCTCGCTGGTAAAATACAATACCACTTCCTCGAAGATGCCATGGTCAATTCTGTCACTCTTCGATCAACTTGAGTTCATCCTCGCTGAGCACCATGAGTCAATATGTATTTATGGTGATAGACAACGTTCCGCTTTTGACACAAAAGCCTGTGTCAAAAGCGAAACGTTATCCATCACCATAAATACATTAACCGGTCGTCTACCAAGTTTTCTGAAATGATGACTTCCCGATCGGTTCCAAATATGTTCCAAGATAATGAGTCAATATGCTTTAATTGGGAGTTTTCGGACTGCTTCAGCATCATCGGAATTCATTCCAAGAGTGAAAGGAGTAAAATATTGTATGATGTCAAGACTAATGTCTACTTTGTGGATACGAAATATGCGGGTTTAGCGAACAGCCGACCACTTTGGAGTATCCACTTGAATTCACACACTATTTACTGAAGGAGAAATACTCGAGACAGCTGGGATCGAAGTAATGACCAAGTTGGGCCGAGCTACTATTCCCAAAGTCGAAGGTTACCCACATGCTCGCGATCTTCTGGGGAATATGGTAGAATGCGAAATTTATGCTAACTTCCCGTTCAATGAAGGCAACGAACTACGAAACGATACCTGAAAATGCGAGCAGTTGGATAACATCGGGTAAACTCGGAAAGATCTGTTCACCAAACCACCGGAAAGCTCAGCCTAACTCAGTCTGTTAACTAGGATTCAAGTGTGTTGGATCCGGTTCCAATAGTTTGCATTATCATGGCAGTATAAAATTAACAAGCGTGAAACAAAAAGGGAGTAGCTAAGTAATGAAGTGAGTTGAGAATGGGCTCAAAATGTGATACGGTGGTTGAGTAGAACAGTCAGATAAAAGTTACTGGATGGGGAGGGCAATTTATCATCGGGATAAGCCAGCGCCAAATTTCATGGTCCATAGTAAGAGGACGACACACTAGCATTGGTCAGTTGGTCAACCAAACTGCTCATGGCTATTTGTCGTATGGTCAACCTTCGTGTTGTGCTCAACAGTGAGTAATCCAGCTGCACAGAAAAGTGATCAAAGCAGGCGGTTGGTAGGCGAGAAACGTGACTTAGCCAACGTTGGTGGGTCAGGGCCAGAAGAATTAACTCAGTGCTACAGTGTCGGTCGCCAAACCTCAAATACGGAACGTTAAAAGTACTGACCGGGTGGTCTAACCAAGTAGTATGGCTGCTTCGTGGGCGCCATTAGCCTTCAACAGAAAGCTCATTAGTAATCCAACTGCGCAAATGAACTGAATCAGAGTCAACTTAACTGCTGACCTGCCCCGACGTAGAAATAGAACATGAAGTTAAACAGTTAACCTAGTGGAAGGACAACTAGCAAAGTCCAGAAAGTATCAGACGAACCATGACGCTAGCACTAGATATCGGTCGTGTTCAACCGACCCAAAAGACTGCAAACATTCTGGTGTTTTGGTTCTTCAACTAGGCAACGGCATAGGACACTACTCTCTGTATATTTCAGTTCGTTAAACAAAATACAGATGGTATCGTAAAGCGCAGTGGATTAGGCGGCTTTAGGTCATGACACCATAAAGGTAATTGGGAAAAACCGGGAAAACGAGAGTAAAGGTTTCAGAAATAAAAACAAAGATGTGTTCAGAGGTGACCGAGGGGGGAGGACTACAACAACAAACTAATGTGGCTAATCCCGAGGACCTCGTCCACGAACCCAACATGCGCAAATCTGACTCAATCCTTCGGTCGATTCCGACAAGCCACAGTAGTAGCAAGCCATTAACACTGAAGGGGTTGGTGGTTGGTGCGAGTCCAGCAGATTATCTTATGCAGTACTAGGGGAGATGCTGTTAAACACCGTTCTCGCAGTGTCTTCTTAGTGCGGTGGTAAAACTTCTGAATCATACAAGAATGTGGGTAGCGTTGCGTTGTGCATCCTTTCCGTAAACATTAACCTAAATTTTGTGGTGCCCACAGGTAACAAATCCTTGCAAGCCTCACGAAACCTCTCATTCATGTGGCAATCTTGTCGGTGATGCAACTCAGTTGACCTGAGCTTTGACAGCGTGAAGTGCATGTTGAAGTGTTCAGTGCCATGCGTGAAACAATCTGATAGCACCGACACAACAGTTATGCTCAACCAAAAGAGGGCTTTGTCGTCGGCTTACTTTGCCCCTTGGTCCAGAGGGACGCACGGTAGGGTCACATGACCATTTTGACTACACTGTTAAGAAAGCAAAGTATGTTCATCATGACTAACCTAGACTGACACGGTGGACTCAGGCGACAGCGTCCTGTAGACCCCAAACTGCCGTAGCACGAAACTTGTATGCTATAATAGATCTCTCTGGCATGCCACAAACAACTGTGACTAATTAAATCAGAGACAACATTCAAGTTAGAAGGGGCCGTCGCAATATACTGTATGCGGGATGCCTTTCAAGCGCCCAATAAAGTGCGGGTGAGTGAGCAATACAACGCCTACTATAGTGGAAGTCAGTCTAGCGTCCTCTGGTGCGAACGCTAGTGGATCGCATCGGTACGCTGCACGTGAGTAACCTGAAGGCTAATGTACTAAGAACATTAGATCGATGACATTTTTACCATGTAAAGTTGATTACTGTCTACCAGAAAGAACGTCCTGTTTGAGGCAAATGACGGAGGGAGCGGTCAAACAAGGCAATAGTAGGCCACCGCAGGCGATTAAGCAACGACAGATAAAGCATAGACGGAAAAGATATCTTGCTACGCATTGTGCATAAGTTTTGTACTAGCTGACAATGGAACTCTGGTGGTTTCCGGAATGAACTCGAGAGAAGCATAGGTTAAAACCATAAGAATGGCGTACCCTCGGTTGCCACCTGCTAAAACTGAGGGAGCTAAAAGTCGAATCATGTGCATGAATCAGTTAACATGGGTCGTCTCCGGCAGAGTGCCATAAGACACCTAGGGGTAAACACAGTCGGGTACAGAATGCGGTTGTGAGAAAAGACCCGATGATACGATCGCAGTACCGAACGAAATGTCCCATTGATCAAGAAGTATGCATAACCTACTATTTGAAAAGTTCACTAGGTACTCATTTGGAATGTAGAAACCACAGGGCAAAGCGCATCAAACACAACTCACTTTCCGCTCTTACTGCGTCACAGTCATCAACGGCGGGGCGACTGAATGTTGGCTCGGTTAGCTCGTTTTTTGCGCGGTTCAGTGAAGCTTTCAAGGGCGTTTGCGGATTGCACTCTAATCTTGTGCAATTGGTTTCCAAGGTTCCGGCGGAGGTTTGAGGCGACGTTTGCTCACTGTCTGTCTCGGTGTGCGTGTGCGAAGCCCTCCGGATGCAGAAATGATTAAATGTGCTTGAAGTGGCTGTGAGCGATCGCTTCGGACCAGAACCTTCTTTCTGCACAAGATGGGCCGAGGGTCTCTCACATGTCACGTCGCATAGACTGTACGGAAATTCGGATAACCGAAGCTTCAAATCACTTGTGGGCCCACCTATGGGACTTAGTCGATTTGCAGTTGTGCCAGTGCTGCCGTTATGAGGTATCTGTCCGACGGCGCGCACGATAGTCCAGACGCGGAGGAAGTAGTCCGAGGCATCGCCACTTGAGAGTGATTGGCTGCCAACCAATAGGTTCAAGGAATCGTGCTGCGGATCGATTGCATTGCTGCTGTGTCGCTTGACGCCTGTCTGGAATAAACCAATCAGAAAAGAGGTTAGCACGTGAGTTTGCAGGATATGGTTGCGTGTGCATCGCACGCGCGGCATGTGCATTTCCGCAGTCAGTTGGAGCGCAGCTACTCAACGGCTGAGACGCGGTCTAACTGGTCAATCCTTCCGTCCGATCCGCGGCCTCCCCAATCGATGGCGTCGTTTGGGCCTGACATTACCGAGTCAGCTTTTAGACGGCAGATACTCCCGCGTGAATAGGGTTCCGAAACATTTGTGAAGTCCGTCGACTAGTCGAGTGCGAACTGGTGTTTCGTCTTTTTCGCTATGTGCCATTTTGTCAGTTCACCAAACAGGTTTAATGCTTGCGTGAACCACGGTTTGAGTGTCACTGCTATAATTGACCGTTGCGTCACCCCTGACGTGCCTCTAGCAAAGCGCCTCAAACGTGAACCATAGATGTTGCTTTAATCTGCAAGCTACAACTACCGGAGCACAGTCCAAGTGTGGACACAATGGTTTACAGGTTTGCGAAGAATACGCGCGTAGCAGTGTAGACGAAGGGCTGATGGGTGCACGCAGAGGTGACCCGAAGCCTCTGACACTTGTCAAGAACTCACACTACGAACTGGGTGGTATGGCTGCGCTTGTTCAGTCTTAAACGCTTCAACAGCTAGACTCAGACAGACAGCCACCACATGTCCAAGAAAGCGCTAGACGGCCGTTTCGTCCTGTTAGGACTCGTCATTAGCGCGCACCCGCCGGATCCTGCCGGAATCGAACCCATGAGCATACTCCTACGAATCAGCGACTTGTGCAACTAAGCCATGGTTGACGGTGGCTGACCGCCGTGACTGTTTTCTAACACAACGCAGCTCATCCTCCACTGTCATGCACGTTATGGATGTGCAGAGGACAGGGATGGCCTACAGAATTACTACTACGTTTGCGAGCCACCACCAATCGAGGTGGCATGTAAGCTGCTAAAGCGATTACTGCATAGTTAGCCGTAGGTCTGGGGGCCAGCCTTGTCCTCTGCACATCCATATCATGCATGACAGTGGAGAAGTAGCCGCTACATCGTAGTTAAAAAGCAGTCATGTCGGTCCACCGCCTTCACCAATGGCTTAGTAGCATAAGTCGCTGATTTGTAAGGGTACTGTCATGGGCTCGATTCCGGCAGGAGCCGGAAGGTGCGAGCTACTGATGAGTCCCGATAGGATGAAATGTTCGCCTAGCGCTTTCCTGGATGTGTGGTAGTCTGTCTGCGACGAATCATCTCAAAAGTTTCAAGTAGTATGTACCCTGAAGTTCCGAAGTTTCCTGGTTTTCATACCAAAAAATCAGTTACTGCTCTGCAGCTCACTTTCCTCCTTCGTATCACTCATTATTTTTTATCGGGTCCAAGATCATACAGTGGACTACTGGATCTATTCGCACATCGGTGGCCCAGGCCCCAGGTTTCTAACTAGCTCCCATCAACTCAGCCTTAATCCTCAATACTTCACCCTGATCTACTCTGTCTTCAAAGCGCACCATATATCAATTAAGTCACTAGCACGTTGGACGCTCGGGTCTCTCTTATCCCGTCTCGGCCCCGATACTTTACCTCAGTTTTACCTGACTTGTGAACTAACCATTCACTTATAAAACCACTGATGCAATGGTAGGCTGGACACTCGGCTCCCGTTTATGACATCTGTAATAATTTTTAGATTTCCTCTAAGCGTGCGAACCTGCCATACACCATTTAAATACTTTCGATATATCAAGATGTTGGTCTTAGTCACTTTTATCATTTCAATGCTACCCATGCACTCTGAATGCCCCTCATCCTGTCACTTGTCCACAAACGATGTCATAAACACTGTATTAAAAAGTGTTAAAAGACAAATGTTCCCCTGATGAGAAGTTATCAATACTTTTTCTATATAGTGAAACTAACTCATTTGATTCGTTCTAACACAGTTTTCAAAACCTAGCTATTTTTGGCCTAATCTAGTCACTGCTATTCTCTCTTCACAGTTTAACCTATATGCAATGCGTTCTGAGCCACGATTCTTCACAAAGTTTCGCTGCAATGATAATCGTTGATATTCGATGCACTGTTGGAGGAAATAGTTGGTTGCTATGTAGCTGCAAATTACACTAAATTTTCTCTCGTGAAAAACAGTTCTGAAGGAAACCTGTATAAAATGATAGGATAAGTTCCCTGAACTTTGTCTCACGTCATCAAGAAACGTAAACGTATTTATGGGTTGGCTTATTTCTTTGTTTAAACGGCGCTCATCTGTTCATATTGGATTTTATGTACCCACGTGGTTCATAATTTCTTAGTAAGATCCGCTGGTTCACAAAGAAATTAACATTTGCGCGAAGAATATTGATTCGATAAATCACTCCAGGAAACTACAAGTACAAAGCAAAATTAAGACGAATGAGCTCGCGAAATAGCCCTTGTGTACAAAGGTATGAAATATCCAACAATGGCTTGCTCAATCGAAGCAGACAGCATACGCAAACACACATTTGATCAACATTGAAATTTTTAATGTTGGAGCGAGTTCATGGCGAATGCAAACAAAGCTTGTGATCGAGTACGCTGTTTACACAGCTTTGGTTTCAACATCCTGATTGCGATGGCCTCTGCGATGACCAATAGATGTTTCTTAAGCTTCTTTGGGTATCGGCTAGGGATGGTACAGACGACTTTAAAGGACTCATTTATCCGAACTTGATGGCCAGTTTCTACCAAGAATTGCGGTACATAACTGTTGACGTTCTTCAATGGAACAATGGTTTTATACGGATAAGAAAAGCTGAAGTTTAACAGGTCCCGCAGGAAGATCATGGTGACGATTGGAAGTACAGCAAAAATTGTCAGCAACTTTAGGTACACACCGGTGAACTCACCGCGGTATTCGTAGTATACAATGTAAATACATTGTAAGTCAAGTTATGTTCGTTAATGCATATATGTATCTGTTTGCACATGCATAGAAATCTGTTTGCCCCGATTTCGTGGGAGCTGTAGAGCACAATATTTGTCTGCGTCCTGTTGTCACTAGGTGAACAGAAATCAAATCAGGTAGTGCAGGTGGTGTCGAATCGTTGATTAAAAACGTGTAGCGTGAGCCTAGTAATGACGAAAGTCGAAGGGGCGTTCCAGAGATGATAAATTCTAAGAGAAACCTAGTTCCGGCGGCATTCCAGCCGACTGTATTGCGTAGCAAGTTTCAGCTTGTGACCCCACAATTTTGTGCTGCAGCTAAGTTTCAGGAGATAGCGGCAAGCGTGACCATGTCTTTTGATGATGTGGAACGCTAGAATGTGGTCACCTCGTAGACGGCGATAAATTCCGCTGTACACGTCTAAAATTTTCAGTCGCAGATGCTACGGCAGGTGGAGCATTCCCTTCTCCTTTTTGGTTGTTCTTCGCTGTGCGATATCCAATACTGACGAAATCCGAGGATGAGTCACAGACAATGAATATGTCATGCATTTAACGATAGTAGGAATAAATTGAAGCAATGAGGTTACTCAGGTGTCCTCGTTCGAGCCTTGCGAGACATATGTCCACCAAGGATAGGATTAGTGGAGAACGCAGTGCGATCCTACTGATCTGTAGGCAATAGATCCCCTCAAACAGCAATTGTACATTAAAAGTGTAACGTAAAAGCAATTTTTCAGTTTCCGTACGAGAACTCCAACATCTATGTTGCTCTCAGTGATGTGGTCAGAAGTAAAAAGCACGTTCTCTATCAATGTTACATTCGTGAAAACCGACTCCACATCGAATGATAGCATCAATTTATCACGCACGTTCACGTTTTCTATTCGTTCAACGAATTCAAAAGTATGTCACTGTATGAATGGTCAGTTGTTTGCGTACCGGTTTGAGCAATTCAGTCATCCATTTTGCGATAGAGTGATAGGCCGAGGAAGATATGTCAACTATTGGCCGTATGGGAAAGTTGGCTTTGTGCACTTTTAGCGATCCAAGGAGTTGGGGAGGATGCGAGCCACATGGGGTTTGCTTTGAGAAAAGTTCATAGTAAATATGCTTCGCCACTTTCAACTCTTTCAAAATGTGAATTATTCTTGCTTCCCCTTGTGAACTGCTCCATTTCGCGAGCTTCTTCATGTCTTAAGTTTGCTTTATAATTGTAATTGCCTGAATGATTTATCGAAAAGAATATTCTTCGTGCAATTGTTAATTTGTGACTCAATGGGAATAATTCACAAAGAAATAGATCAAAGTGCTACAGTTCACATAACGCAACACAGCGTATTAAGTACAAGATCCACTTCCGGAACTGTTCCGTTCGTGTATCCCAACCGTGGGAATTGCTGCTACATTCTGTCATCGCTGTCATCTCTGGTCACTTCAAAACGCCCTACCGTTCAATGTAGACAAATGTCGCGTCGTACAATTACGCCATAGTCATAACTACACCTACTCACTTGGGACCAACGGAATGCAGAATAGCTCCCAGGAACGTGACTTGGGTGTGATTGTACAGAGCGACCTCAACTGTTCAAAACAGGCTGACGTAGCTGCGAAAAGAGGCAACCAGCACGTCGGCATGCTGTGAAGAGCATTCGGGAGATTTGACTCATCAATCTTCTCAATAGTGCACAATTCCTACGTGCGCCCGCATGTTGAATACGCTATCCAAGTTTGGCAACCTTGGTTGAAGCATGACCTAGAAGCGATAGAGGCACCACAACGGAGAGCAACAAAGAAGGTGCAGGGTCTGCGCTACCACTCTTATCACCGAAGGCTGAAGTTGTTGGGAATTTTCAGCGGGCGCTATCGAAGACTGCGCGGTGATCTCATATTAGCCTATCAAATATTGAGTGACCCCAATCACGTATGCAGCCATTTGCTGAAACGTAGCCACAACACGCAGCTCAGGGGTAACTGCCTAAAGTTGAAGGAACAATACAGCCGTCTAGAGTGTCGACGGAATTACTTTTCCCTTCGGGTTTGCAAACCTTGGAACGCACTCCCAAACTCA